TGTGAATAATAATAAGGAAGGATTGCTTCATGGAGCTGCTGAGAGTGGTAATAAGGATCTAATCCAATTCCTAGTGGAATCACACGGTCTTGATCCAGAGTCAGAAGATAAAGATGGAGTGACATGTCTACACATACTAGCAAAGCAAGGAGATGAAGAGATATACGAGCATCTTGTACCTCATGTTTGGAATAATCCAACTCCTAAGGATAAAGCTGGTCGATCTCCACTTCATTATGCTGGCAGACATTATGAGATGTCAGTGTATCTGATTCAATCTTTTAATATTCATCCTGAAGACAAAGACATTAATGGATTCACTGGTGTTCATGCTGCCTGTCAAGCTGGTAACATTCAACTTGTATCACATTACTTAACTAATTTAAAATGTGACAAGAATATTCTAACAAACAGCTCCAAAGGATTATTATATTTTGCTTGTAGAAGTGGTAACTTGGAGTTGGTTCATATTTTAATAGATAAATTTGATTTGGTTCCTGTTCAAGAAGATATTGATGGTGCTAGGTCAGTCAATGCTGAATCTATTGTTAAATTTCTTGAGGCTAGAATTAGTTTATCAAAATTAGTTCATGAATTTGTCAAAGAGGCAGAGAAAAGACAGCTAGTACCAACAGCTACTAAACCTCATCCTTCATTTTTATCTTCTTAACTTGTAAACTATAATACTATGTAAATGGATTGCTTTTTGTATTTGTCATTGTTGTACTTCATTCTTTTCGTTTGTTTTCATCCGTTTCGTTCGTGTTTCTTGGAATCATTTGAATTCTTTTGTGCGTATTACCAATTCACCACATCACACTCATTCTTTACTACACCTTCACGTTTACACAAACACATTTGATTGTTTCCTTTCTTCATTATATTAACACTATGGCATCAAATCTCTCTTTCTCTGCCTTCAAGAACACTGGAGACTTATTCTTTGATACTTTTTCATTTTCGCAATAGGGCAATTTTTTTCCATTTTTGATAATGTTTTTTTACAGTAAAGTAATGCTCAGTATTTATTTTTTTATTTCTATTGGTAGTTGTTATACAGTATGCAGCATTATGATGATTCTTTTGGTTTATTATTCTTATTTTGTTATTACAAATCATTCATTGTTGCATTGTATATTATGTTGCATTGTTTATGAGCATTAATAGTTTTTTTACTTGTTTCTGCTCCATTTTTTATTGAAATGAGATTTCTTTTACATGCCATAGCTTTTATACATTAACTTTTATTGAATGTGTTTATATGCATTGATATTACTTATCATTAGTGTCAC